TGGGGTCATTTGATGGGTTTGAAAGTTGATTAACATTCCAGTAATGGTTTGAGTTTCAAACTGGGGACCAACGTCTGGATTACTGTGGCTTTAATCTGCAAATCCTTCAACAAAACTCTTCCGCAGACACATCTCAGTTCCTTAGCAGTGTTGCTTCTCTTTTTAAATATGTATCACACTAAAAGAGTTATTCTATTGAAATAAAGCATTGCTCTGGATGTGGAGAGAAACAATCCCCATTCCCTGGATTTGTGTGGTATGTCACCCTGAAGTCTGCTTTCTCACTGGCTTTGCAGCTAATTCCCCCATTCTTCTCTGCTGCGCTTAGTGCAAAAGTACAAACACATACACCACCCCCTGCTTCACACAGACACGCATGCCAGTGCATGTTTTTGCACACACACACACACACTTTTCTTAACTAATCAGCGCTATTGAATTCCAGCAACAATGGGCGCTCATCCTTGGGCCACCCAGGCAGTGCACTCTCTCACACACACACACACACACACACACACACACACATATGCATACACACTAACACCAGCATCACCAGATCACGAGCTCAGTCTTTTGTTCCTTCATTGTGTTTTCTTTTCTTCCATTGATCTCACCTTCACACACAGGTCAGGAGTTGGCACTGGGAGATTGTGTTAACTGGACTATCAGCTGCTATCTGGGCCCACACACTGCACTCACACACAGGAGGGAGGGAGGCAGCTCCATAAAGCACAGTTACATCCACTGCTCTCGCATTACTGAGTAGAAGCACACATGCGGGAGATTTACAGTAAAAGTAGTATGTTCATGGTGCCTGTGATTCTGTGATGCATGATATAATGTATAGACTATTTCCCATTAGTGTCGCTTCCTCTACAATAATTCCTCTACTTTCAGTTTTTGAAAAATGTGACAAAAATAACTCAATTCCATCAATGTATACAATTTGATGTGCTCAAAACTGATTCACACATACACACACACACACACACACACACACACACACACACACACACACACACACACACACACACACACTCACACACACATTCATTAATTAATCTTGAGACACCACATGACACCACATTCATGAAAAAACAACACAAACACTCACAGAATCATGTGACAGCAGGCGGTCTTTCAAGCACTACATACTCTTTTACACACTATCCAAACAGGGGACAATAAATGCAACTTCCCCACACAAATCATCTAATTGATAGTCAAATGAATGTGCTATTTAATGTATAGTTTCCCTTCACACAAAGGTCAGAGGTCAGAATGATACATTTAGAACAACACCCCAGGAGCTGGTAAGGTCGATGTCAGAATTTACGGTTGAAGTATAGGGTCTCTCCATAATCGCTACACTATCCTGTTGTCCCATGTCTAACAAAAAAATGGAATATCCTCCTTCTCACCCAAAGATAAAGAAAAGTTTCAGGTCAACCCCGTAAAACTGCAAAGCTATCTCTCCGTTGTTATCTGATATAGCTCTGTACAATGCCTAATGCCTGAGGGAAACGCAAATACAACAGAGTTTTGTGTGTGTGTATGTGTGTGTGTGTGTGTGTGTGTGTGTGTGTGTGTGTTACTTCTATTGAAACCAGCCTGTCTCATCACATTTGTTTCTGATTATTTCATTAATTTATTTCTTGGGCATTTTGAAGAAAATTAACGGGTGCTTTCCAATTTTTATGTTTTGCCTTAGTGTACTCTTCAATTAAAATGTTTTAGTATTACAACCACATAAAACAGAATAAGTATTTTGATTATAAAGATGTGGTGCAGGGGCTGAGTGATTAGCAAGACACACCAAACTGAGGCTGACTGTTTTGGGTTAATGTTGCATTTTCCTCTCCCTGCGTTCTCCGCGGTTTCTTAAATGAAAATGATCCTGAACCGTTTTTTTCACCAAATGCATGCCGGGATAGGCTCCAGCCCTGCTCTGACCCATAACTGGACAGCAGGTTTTCATTTTCTTGTCACTGAGCTGTGACATTAAATACAACATGTGCTCGCAGGATGACATCACTTTGGGGCAAATCTGTTCTCATTAACCTACAACTTTAAAACCAAACCAATCTGGCCAGTATTGTTTACTGTTTTGGGGTGTATGTGAGATTACATACAAAATAAATGGGATTTAAGTTTAGATTGTTTTGAACTACTGAGCCAGGTGTGCTGTACTGTGAGCTTGTATGTGTGTGTGTGTGTGTGTGTGTGTGTGTGTGTGTGTGAGGTATGTTTTAGAGGTGGACGTGCATGACAGTAACTTCAAAAGACTGAGGTATCAGATTCAGACGTGGGCTACTCTGGGCTGACAACCGAGGAGCTGTTGTGAGAGAAGCGAAGGAATTTACAGCATCTACCTTTCATCTACACAGGTGGCCTGTGTGTGTGTTTGTGTGTATATGTGTGTGTCTGCGTGTGTGTATTTGTGTATGAGGAGGCAAGGGGGTGTATGTGTGTGTGCGTGTGATTATGTAGTTGTTTTGTGTTTGAGTTTTAGAGAATGTGTCGTGCACATAAGCAAAGTAGTGATATTTGTGTGTGGGTATGTATGCTTGTGTGTGTGTGTGTGTGTGTGTGTGTGTGTGTGTGTGTGTGTGTGTGTCTGCATTCACAATGGCGGCGATTTAGACAGACGAGTCACAACAATGATCCAGGAAGCCAGTGATCCCAGACACTTTCCAGGTGGCTCAACGCTCCAGTTCAGTGGTTCTCAGTGTTAATTCATCGTTCATGAAGTAAAGATGTAAACATTTGGAAAACACATTTCCAAATGTTTACATCGATTAATTCAATAACAAATCTTATCAAACCAGCAGGAATGTGACAGTAAAGTGTGTGTGAGGGAACACATTTGGGTTTGTTGGTCTTTCAGTGGCTGACAGGAAGCAGAACGTTGCACAATATGAAAACACTCACCTCAGGCATAACGAAATAACAAGAACACACAAATTAAAACCAATCTAATTATATTGTGCAATGACTTATCTATTGATTTATGTTCCATTTAAATTATTATCATATGTCTTAGGCAATGCTAATACATTTTTTCTCTTTTTTCATATTACACAAAAAAGTCAGATTATGGCGTCTTGGGGTAGAACAATAATCCTGATTTTGTGTCGTATGGTCTCCTGATTCCTGACCTAACATAAAACAGACACAAATAAAGTCACTCTAGCAATCATTCGATGTTGAAGTGTTCACATAGACCTTATATAATAGTGGCTATAAGTGGACGTAGTCATCGTGGCATCACCCCTTGGGTTTGTGGACTGCTGTTTTGAAGCCTTTAGTTCAGAAATGACACAAGGGGGTGGAGCTACGTACAAACGAACGCTGAAAAAGACATCTATATGCGACCAAAATGTTGAATGAATCAACTTTCATACACTGAAAACTGTGAAAAAGTTAAAGTTGGGAGACAAAAACACGGAGAACTCCCAGAAGGGACAAACTTAAACTTTAAACTTTATTGTAATTGTCATTTACATTAGGTGCATACAGTATATATGAAATTGAACCTCTGCATTTAAACCATCCTTAACATACTAGAAAGCAGTGGGCTGGTTCTGTGTCTTGCTCAAGGACACATCGGCACAGGACACGTAGCAGGCAGGGATCGAACCGCCAACTGTGCGGTTACCGGACGACCCTCTCTACCTTATGTAGAAACCTGTCAATCTTCAAGGTAGCATGCCCTAAATCATACCCTGCTTTATTGACTATTTTACTGTAAATCGGACTATAATTTACAAAATGTACATCATGCTGTATTGAAGACTTGAAACTAGAGACTGAGACTACAACCTCCTGTTTATAATGTTTACTGAGGTACTAAATCAAGTGAGAAGAAGGGTGATTTTCTCATAGACTTCTATACAATCAGACATCTTTAAGCAACCGGGAGTGAATGCAAGTGTAGCCGTCTCTCTGCTACTCGTGGGTCCTCCTCAGCACAAACACAGCCTTAAACAGGTAACACAGCAAACATCAAATCTGTGACAGGCAGGCGTTCACCTCTCTGTTCTTGCCTGTCTGTGTCAGCTTCCAGAGATCCAGCCTGCTGCTGCTCAACAGGACAAAGGCTAATTAGAAATAAGTTACAGATGTGCCAAATAAACTCACCCTGGCATCGCTCCCCTGAACCACTCCCACACATCCCCCCCCCCTGCAGCTGAGCACAGACCATGCCTGACATTGCTGCCTGAGTGATGTCAGCAGCGTTATTCCTTTCTTGTAGAAATCATGATGACTTGTCATGGGTCAAGGGAAAAGGGATTGTAGCACTCGACAAAATGTGAAAGATGTTACCAAAATCCCACGGATCATCTTCTGAGGACCATGAAGAACCAGTTGTCAAAGATGCGTTGGTCTAAAGGAAAGATGGATGGGCAACTGACGTTGACATCTTGTGTGTCTGGGTGCCAATCGGGGGAAATCATATTTGATCACATCTGTAATTAATAAAGGATTTTGGATTATGTGTGGATCAAACTTTTGAGTTCAGGCAGAGAGAGCTGAAACGGCTTGCATGAGAGCTGGAAGTCAGAGGAAATCCACTTGGATATCATTAGCATCTCATGAGTTCAGTTTCAATTACAGCTGATGTGAAAAAAAATGAACCAGGCATTGCACACCAACTTTACGAGATAATAAGTTACATATGACTGAGTTACAGTTCAATTTGCTCAAACTGTTCTGACGCATCAGGGGATTCGTGGAGTCAATGTTGATTTCAGTAAGATAGTCAACCGAAATGCAGGATTATTGTGAACCGTTTGTCAACTGGGTTATCAACACTTCAAAAACATTTGATGTAACTCATTCCCCCAGTAGTAGCATTTATCAGTGTAAATTGATTGTGCGATGTCTTACTGATCTTCACACGTGCATGCTTGTTGACAGTCCTGTACAACCTCTCTTGAATGGGAATAGTTTTTTCATGATTAATGAGTCTTGAGTATAAATAGCTGATTTCATAGTTTCAATCAGATTTAGGCCTAAAATTAAATTCTTATTAAATATGCGGATACTACTGGGTTTCAATGATTGACGTACTGAAATCAAACCTTTTGTTTTACACACCAACAATGCACCTCGATAATAGAGTAGACCTATTTAACCAGTATATTTAACCAGCAAACACTGTCAGTTTGTCAGTTTGCTGGTCTGTGATAAGGGTTTTAGGTTCACAGGTAAACACAAACACACAAACACACACTCGAAAAGACTGGCAAAGACCACAGAAGCACTTTTTTTTTCTCCATTCAATTTATTTTGTTAGTTCAATTTCTATAGCAGGTGAGGGAACATAACGGTCACACGAGGGTTTTCTTGAGCATAGTTTTCAGAAGTCACAGTGTTTTAGACATGGACAAGAACATTTTTAAAATATGACAATGAAGAAGGAAGGGCCAAGAGGAAACTGAAAAAAACAAGGTGTAACAGTGACACAATCCTACACACCTTCTCCTTCATGGTCCTCCCACTGCCTCCTTTACTCCACCAAAAAAAAAAAAAAATAAAAATAAAGGCCTCTGCTCTAAAGTGTTGTCAACCCCTCCCTCCATCCCAGAATGCAAACAAAATAAAACGTCAAAACAAAAACAAACTCGGCAACAAATAGATATATTTATATATAATATATATTCACTCTTTAAAAATAGAACTTCAGTCTAGATACTAACATCTGTACAAACTACAAAAATAAATTTTAATATAAATAATTTATATGGCATGACATTAACAATTTTTCTTTTGAAATAAACTACAAACCAATGCAGGAGCTCCCCCCCCTTCACCCCCCGCCCCCCCTCCCTTTTAACCTCCTCACCACACTGACAACACCTGCTGGCGGTCGGTCTACGGTCTGATCAAACTGTGAACGGTGCTTTGCTCATTCTGCTTAATTATTCACAACTGCACAGTAGCTACTTAACTTTTCTTTCATATGTACAAAAGAAATCAAAGCTGCCACTTAAAAAAAAATAAAAATTCCCTGCAATTTAACCTGGCAGTGATGAGACCAATACCGAACAACGACAACATCAACGAAAACAACTTTGTAAAGCAAATGACATGAAAATCCTAAGAATGAAAGAAAAATGTATTGTGCCACATATGAGGTTTGTATTAGCAAGAAGAGTGAGACATTAGAAAGTGAGTGAGAGCAGGTTGGAGCATTATAAAGGTTGAGCCAGTTTACATCATGTAATAATTGCACAGGGTCGCAACGACATGAAGGTGTCGCAAACCCAAAGCAGCCAGCAAAGGAAAAAAGGAGGAATTAATAATAATAATAATAAAACAAAATCACTCCCTTTGCATTAGATTTCATAATTCCCTTTCAAAATAACACGAGAAGGTGAACAATTGTCAAACACAAAGTGACCAATGTGAGCTTCACCCACTGTAGAGCTTACGAAAACTGCAGAAAAAATAAAATAACAAAATCTTATCACAGCTCCTTCAAGTAGTTGAAAACTGCAGAGGATGGAAGATCCAACGTGAAATATGAATACGGGTGTGACCCTGCCAGCGTGCTGGCTAACTGATCACAACAATATTCAGATAGACGGGCGGGATGATGGTGATAACATCAGTCTACTACTGCTTCTTGACAAACATTGTGTGTCTGGACGAGACAAAACATATTTACAGCAAAGCGAGAACATAATACTGAGTGCTGATTCCTGTGATAACGAGGAAAAGGGGACAAACTGAAGGCACGACGGTTACTACTGTTAAGAAAACAGTCTGCTGTGGAGTTCTCTGCTTCTTTAAACAGTGCACACTGTGACAGAGATCATCTGTAATCAAAATCTCACAGTATAATAGTGTGTAAAAACTTATACTGACTTAAACTGGGGGGGGTACTGCATTTTTTTTTTAAGGCAAATCACTTAAAATTATTTTGAAATGTAGCAGCAAAAGAAATCATAGCAATACATAGAAATAAAACACTGACCACGTATGTTCAATAGCCTAATATCTTAATAACATCTCACTTTTTGTGGACACTTTTTACATATAGCACAGTTCTTATTCTATACACTGTGTGGGGGGGGGGGGGGGGGGGTGGAAAAAAAGAATCAACCGCCCCACAAAAAAAATAATCTTTTACATCTGAACTTTTACACAAGAGAATACCCAAGTTATACAGTACTCATTTAAATAGCTTCCTTCTTTTTTTTAGTATTAAAATATATACTCATAGATTTATATAATTCTGAAAATGTCTTTTTTTTCCTTTAATATGTCCTTGAAATAAATCCTCTCCTTTTTTGTGTGAAGTCTATGTACAGACGTGACTCCGCGTGAGCCGTCAAGCTGCTCCGGAGAAGCAGCCGGAGACTCGAAACGAGAAGACGAGGCGAGTGAGAGAGTCTAGCAATCTTTGGCTGCCTGGATCCTCAACCCACCTACAGCAGAGAAACAGAGAGAACAGAGAAGCGTCAGATTTAGCTGAACACACCTTCAAAAGACAGATGCACTGGAAATCTCATTGAGACGCCGCACGTATTTCTCGGGTTTGCTCTTCGGTTTAATGTCGGCTCTCAATACACATATCGAGAAGATTAAAAGTGCGGTAAACCTGAGATTGACTGGTAACAAACTCACCTCGTGTCTTGCCGAGCTGACGCTCTGCCTGGCTCTGCGTTGCCTCCAAGTCCTGGAGCTCTAAAGAGTCTCTCTTACATGAAGAAAAGTTCGTTTTGCCACCACAAGTCCTCTTAGCAGCCTCGAAACAGTCCGACTCGCTGTCTGTGTCAAAACCTTCATGCATGTATCCTCGGTACGCCGCCCCCGGCAAGGTCGGGTGCACGGCCACCGTCACGGAGGCTGTCGCGGTTACCATGGTAACAGCCCCCCCCGCGGAGCCTTGTTGCGTCGGCAGTGCAGAGCTGCTATTGCTATAGCTCGGCCCTTTAGTCCTGTTTGGCTGAGGCCCTCTGCCGCTCTGCAGCCTGGTGCCGCTTTGAGAAGTCCTCCCGAGGAAGTGAGGTCTTTCGCTGGGTAAGTGTTGCGCCTGGAGCCTCTGGAGGCCCGGCTGCTGCTGCTGCTGCTGCTGCTGCTTTTTTCCATCCCAGCATGTAAGCTGGGAGCCGAGAGCCTGTGTGTTGTGGGAAGATTCATTCAACGGCTCGATCCTTCCGCCAGTGCCTGTTGAACTTTCTTTGAATGGCTTCACCACCTACAACAAATAAAAGTTTCATTGTTTACTTTCAGAAACAAAAACACAGGAGTTTGAAGAAACAGGAAGGGTTTCCATCGTATCTGTGCGGTCATGCGGCGTACCGTGAGCTTGGGGAAACTGGGGTTTTTGCTGGCTTCCAGCAGTATGTGAGACGTCGAGGGTGGGACGCTGGCGTGCGACGCTATGTCGCAGTACTTATAATCCTCCTCCCCGATGCCTGACGTGGTGGTCACCTCGGAGTAATACTCCGAGTCAGAGGACTCCGAAAAGGCCTGCTGACAAGACGGCCGCGGGTTGTGGTGGCCCGTGTAGTAACCGTGGTGGGCCATCGGTGGGGGCAGTTGGGGTTCAGGGGAAGGCGTTGGCAGGCGACTGGCATTGTCGACCGGGGTGACCTCAGCCGGAGGGCCCATCATGGACAGGAGCACCGGCAGGAGAACCAAGCCATTCAGTACCCCCAGTACAGTGAGGATGGCCAACACAGCAAAGAAATATCTGAAGGATGGAGAGAGAGGGGGGGGGGGACGTTAGTTTGAACATGAACCAAACATGAAACATTCGTCTAAATTTTATGCAATTTTTCTTTTAACGTGACAAAAAAAATGCACAAGACCACAGTGGCCCGATGTGTTGTAAGGACAAGAACACACAAACACACATGCATGTGCACAATTCCAAACACACTCACACATAGTTGGCACTTGAGGAAGGGAAGTAGCTCAGGGAAAGAAGTCAGGGAAAGCCCAGTGTTTGTGTATCAAAGGCAGGGAGGGCAAATCTGATTCCCCGCTCAGTCCAACTAAAACATGCTTTGATGCCTCCACTGCTGCTGCTACAAGACTTTCTCTCGCTCTCTTTTTCACTCACATAGTGTGTGTGTTTTTTATTTTTTGTGTGTGCGTGCATTTCAGCGGGGCTCTGAGGAGGCCGGGGGTGGAGGCAGGCCACAAGAAAGAGCTTCCCAAGGAAAATTAGAGAGAACTCCACTTAAACACTAACAGAAAGCAGAACGAGGGAGACAGTGAGATGCTAACCACCAGCCAGACTTAAAGAGGTATAAGAAGGAGGGAGGGAGAAAAAAAACGATTGTTGGAATGAAGGAGAAGAAAAAAAAAAGCCAACAGGGACAGAGATAATGGTGGTGTGGCGCTCTGGAAACATGGTTCTCTCTTGTGAATGGACTACTACAATGATTACAACTACTTCACTTGACAAAGGTCACTCTCCAGGAAAAAGTTCATGGTTTGCATGTCGGGTGTGATTTCACAACCTGTTCGCAGCCGTGTCGGCCCCCCCCCCCCCCCGCTCTCTCTCTGACATATTTTCTTCTTTAAGCATATGTCCTTGTTTTCTTCCTTCAGAATCAGAATCAGAAGCATAACGCATGTCATCCTAACCACTTTTGACAAAACACTTCGGGGAGAGTTTTAATTTCTTGCTGTCTTCTCAAACCGTGACGGCCTTTCAACCCCACGCGGGTATTTAATCTGCACGAGTTATTGAGTTAAAGCGCGGACGCTGAAATCACAAATATAGGTTGTTGTTGTTTTGATGGCAGTGCATTGGCCACCACCGTTCAGCTCACTTGCTCATTCTATCACCAAACAACTTCTTTACGTTGTGGGGAAAAAAAAAAAAAGAAAAGAAAAAAAAAAAAAAAGAAAGAAAGCGAGCGAGACGTTGGTGGGACCTCCAACAGTGTCTCACTGTTAGGAATTCTGTTGTTTATATAAACTGTAATCTTTTCCATTCGTTGTCAGGGCCTGGGGAGCTGTGTGTGTGTGTGTGAGAGAAAGAGAGCGTAAGTGTTTACATGCCTGTACATATGTGCATTTCTCCTTGTGTGTGTGTGTGTGTGTGTGTGTACGCACTCATATGTGCCGCGTACGTGTGTGCATGAGAGAGAGGACTCTGAGCAGGGCTGAATTAGGCTTGCTGTTTATTCAGTGCATTACAAGGCCAGGAGATGTTTACAGCAGTATATTTATGCTACTCCCCAGCTAGGCAGCTCTAGCTTGCCCCATTCACCCCACCACAGCTACAGCTACAGCTAAACAAGACCTCCAACAGAGATACTGGACCCTTCTGTCTCCGTTTCTCACCCCGTCCTCTGAAAAGACCTCTCACAGAACCATGGGAGAAGAGAAGAAAAACAAGATGCTGAAAACGCTCTCTCTCTGACTTTCATTCTTCCCAGTCCAACTTCCTATTTACTCTCAATTTCTCCCCATTTACACCTCTTTATCTTTCCAATCCGACATGGCGGTGGATCCGTTCACCTGACCGCCCACCAGGACCTCGTATCCCGAGCAAAAAAAAGCCACCCTCGGAGTATTTCTCCTCCTCTCTCTGTCTCTGTTTCTGCAGAAAAAAACGGCGCTTTTTATGTCATGGAGGCCTGTTGCAGTCTGTGAGCTCAAGGTTGTGGTTTCAGGGTTTGGGCCTAGACCACATTCAGCTGAAAAACATTGAGCTATTCGCCTTTTTTTCCACTCTGACCATGAAACAGTGGTAGAAGATGCACGCACGCACAAAAGTACGCAACATTTTTCAAACGCACTCGCGCACGCACAGAAGGGAGGGTTGTCTGTTGGTGGGCTTCGGCCCATCTGACTGGCTGACCATTTCAAATTTAGCTCCACTTTTTTATGACGGCACCCGATGTGGAGGAACTGAATGCCAAACGGATGATAGGAATTTTTACAGATTCCCTCTTGTATGTGTGTGTGTGTGTGTGTGTGTGTGTGAAAGAGACGCAGTGAACGAGAGAGAAAGAGAGATCACCCATGTTTACGAGCAGCTGCTACACACCCTTGATGTTTTCCCCATTTTTGTGCTCTGAGGTTGGGGAGACGGGTGTGTGTGTGTGTGTGTGCGCCAAGAGTGACAGAACCAGGTGCATATTTGTCACTGTGTGTATGTGTGTACATAAATAGGGGTATAACATTTCCACCTGCATGCACCGCTGACCCCCCACAAGGCTTCCTCCCGTCCCCAAAGTGAGGACACACACACACACACTTATGGCGTAGAACCAAAACACTGCTACTTGTGAAGGTAAGAAATGGGCTGGGGAGGGTGCAGATGGAATCGCTGTGTGAGCGAGTACCGTCACTCTCTCACACATCAGTACAAAGTCGGCACATACATCGCCACATACACAGATGCAGCCTCACACACACACGCACACACACACACACACACACATACACACACACACACACACGGCGTAGGCTACTCACCTCATGATGAAGTCAAATTCTGACCCTGCCAGCATGAGAACGCCCAGCAGCGTGGAGATCGCTCCGTCGACCACCGGGGCGAACATGTGCTCCAGAGCCACTGCCGAGCGTTTGTTTCTGTTGCCAATCGCTGTCAGGAAGCCCTGCGGCGGACGGGGAGGAGAAATAAGTTAATAAGTTGGAAATCCTGCCGATCGCACAAAACTTGTGTTTGAGGTGAGGTTTGGCATTCCTGCATTAGTGTTTTTTTTGTTATTTGGGGATCACTACGCTAAACTACAAGACAGCACACTATGCTCGAAAGCTGCCAGCATGAACCCGGAAGCCTTGCAGTGAGTGAAATACATTTAATCAATTATTGAAAAACAAAAAAAAACATGACTGGTTATGTGTAATCCTTCCGAGGTAGGCAAATCACGTGGCCACATGTCAGTCTGCAGTAGGCATTAAACATTTAGACCAGAGCATCGGGTTTCAAGTAAAGTAGGTGTTTAATTGTAGGAGCTCAGTCCTCCTAACAGTTAATCCGTGTGTGTGCTCTTGCTTTGTGCCGGGTCTTGACTTACCAGCGCGATGTGGACGGTGAACTCCACTCCGATGCCCACAGAGGCGATCAGAATGACCACAGGGATGGCGCTCAGCTTGATGCCGATCAGACCCATGATGCCAAACAGCTCCACCGTCATCATGGCCAAGATGAACACCTGTAAGGAAGAGAAAGCGTCACGAAAACGAATTGCTTTCAACTACCACTACTGAAGAGAATAAAAGCATGTAAACAATAAAAACAAATGTGCCTTTCCCCAGTGACTGACTTTAGCCCTTTTGCCTCTTCACCCCACACAATCTTTGACCCTTTGCTCGGGGTCTTAACCACATGGCATCAAATTACCCACCCCGAGGCTAATACCTTCCCCTCCTCCTCCTCCCCTTCCTTCTCAGAGGTGGTTGAAATGATTGACAGCGCCTGAGACAACAGAGCGTGGGCCCTCTCTACCAGAACACCGTATACATCTGTCTGCGTTGGTGGAAAACAAATGATCTTGTTTTTTCACTGGAGCGCAGCCTGTTTGCTTATTTTGATCATTTCCGATATTTTAATGCTCCAGCTTGCATTTTAATGCAGTGTTTCAGTTCGCTTCATCGTAAACATGCAATGGTACTGTAAAACCGCAACGCAAACAACAACAACAAGGAGGAGAAAACGGTTCCCGGCCAACGGAAGCTTTTGATCCCAGCGGGGCCTCTGCGCTGGGGGCACGCTTAAATTGGAAATGATAAAAGGCGTTTTACTGCTCGACCACATACCGGCAGGGTGAAACCTTCACAGGCAGGCTGATGCTTGGAAACAGTACGTGCATACAGCGGTGCCTCTCTCTCTGCCTGGGGATACCGTGTTACGTTGCTGTCTCAATCAGTGCTGCTAGGGATCGCTACTTAAATGAAACACATTCCACTTGAAACCGGCACTGTTGTTGTGCTACACTTCAGCCACCACCCCCCCCCCCCAATGGTTGGGATATGTGGATTTGTGTATGTGTGTGAGCTTGGGGGGCCCTTAAGGACCACCGGTCCCACCAGCTTGTGTGTGAAATGTTTTCCAACTGCTGAACACTCAGACTGTCTCTTTCACTCTCTCTCACGTACACACACACACACACACACACACACACACATATCCCTGATGGATGGGTTGAGCAGGCCAAGGTCGCAACTGGGCAGATCTGTCCTGTCCCCAAGTCTCTCCCTCTCCCTCTGACAAAAGCAGTGAGGGAGTTGGAGGTAGAGGCTTCAGGAGGGCAAAGCCTTTCTTGCTCCTTTGCATTTCCTTTTCTAAGGCCAGCCCAGCCTACATTAGAATGACAAAGGTCCCTGTGTGTGTGTGTGTGTGTGCGTACTGGCCCTCCGCAGAGAAAAAGGGCCCCCCTAGACAGCGTTATTGAGCTGTGCTGAGAAGGGTGAGAAGAAAGTGAGAGGAGGAAAGGGGCTAATGATGTTGTTGAGGTAGCATGAGTTGGAAAAACGCAGAACCATAGGAAGGATGAGGAAGAGGTGCGATGAAGAGTTGTCGGGCAAATTGGACGCTTTGCTTACAATGATGCCGGCGGTCCAGGGGTTGAGCAGGAGAATCGCACAGACCAGGAAGGTGCAGGCCAGCACCACGCTGATCGCCAGCAGGAACCAGTGTCTGAGGCCAATGTACTGCTCCCAGAACAGGAAGGGGTATCCGTTAGGGTAGTTCAACACGCCCTTGCGGCTAAACTCATCGCAGATGGCCCGCACACTCTCGATGGCCTCCACAAAGTCGCTGGCCTGGCGAAGGCCGTTCAGGTAGAAGGGGAACTGGGCGAACTCCAGGGGCTCTGCAGCTGGGACTGCAAGAGGGAAAGACAAGAAAGGTGAGATTTGAGATCATTTGTCCTGCAAGGCATTTTCAGGATATGATAATGTGATGAATAAGATTACTTACTGCGCAGATTCTCCCCTGTAGTGTCGTACTTGTCGTGAATCCACTCTCTAGGATGGGGGTAGAAGTTGGCCTGGGAGGCAGCATAGCCCAGAGGATCATTGCTGACCCAGACTGTCAGGTAAATGTAAAACACCTCCGCAGGGATCAAACCCTCTGCGTCCACCAGCCGCCGAGATGTCAGCTGGAGGAAAGTAATTCAAAAATTCAGATTTAATGGACATTCAGGTATCGAGTTTTGTTCGAATAAATGGTGAAAAGACAGCCGATTATGTAGCGCCCACAATACCACCCACGGATACTGTTTAAAAGTATTTCCTGCCGCTCTTGTCGACATACCTGGCTGTAGTTAAAAGGCTCTTTCTTGGAGCCGGTCTGGATGAGGAGCTTGTACGCCAGCGCTCCGTCCTCTGTGCCGTTGCGATAGCTGTCAGAGGTAATCCTGCCTGCCTGCCAGTCAGCATCAAAAGCAGCCTGAAGACCTGCGTGTGAGGTAAAACACACACGGGAAAAGAAAAGAAAAGATTGTTGTGGTTGTCATTTATAAATATTATGATTTCTATTATCATAAAATTATAGGAGCTGTCTGGGTGGACAGTGATGTTTAAAATATAGTTTCTTTTTTCATCTGGCTCTGATTGATCAGGCTGTTGTTAGTTATCACTTCCTCCTGACTGGAGCTCTGACATGTTCTAGCCTGAGGACACACACACACACACACACACACACACACACATGCAAAGATAACCTATGACCCCAACCCGTCTACTGCACCACCCCTGAGCCCAGGTGGATGGGGGTAAACAACGGCGTGAACAAACTTTCATTCACCCTTCGCACATTCTCACCTCCTCGCGCACACACAAACACACACACACACGCACACACATTCACTCACTCCTGCCCTTAGTTAAAAAATAAAAAAAGCACACCTGAAAAACCCCTCAGTGGGATTCTGACATCATTGTAAAAAAAACTCCCATTGGGACAGAGAGTAACTTATTACCTGACTCACTCAAAAAAAGATGAAATAAAAAGACTGAGTCTTACCTCTTAGCCAGTCCTGGAAGTAGTGCAGCCACATACGGGGCAGTTTGCTGTCGCTGTCTCTGACCACATATTTAA